TATTTATTCTTAAGGCATGGAGAAGATCAACTTCTCTGGAGGAGAGCCCTTCTTACACGATAAAGGGGAGTTTCTGGGGAAACTGGTCCAGTTCTGTAAGGAGGACCTGCAGCTCCCAAGTGTCAGCATCGTCAGCAACGGAAGTCTGATCAGAGAGAAATGGTTCCAGAAATATGGTGAGATCCAAAAACAGTAATTATCACCCAAAATCAATGTATTTTCCCACGTGTGTTAGTGAATGTGGTTGTGTCTGTTAACAATATAACTTATATAGCAGTGGGCTGATTTTATTAAAACTTGCAGAAAGTAATAAATGGATGTACATCTACAATTGATTGAATTTTGGAGTCAATCTGATGTAACATGGCTGCCAAAGCCATTCTGCTACACAGATGAGTGAAGATTTTGTGTGGTATCTGAGTGATCCTTGCATAATTTTGCCATTACAATCTGGAAACAACTTTGTCTATTACTGGAATATCATGAAATTTTCAGAAACCAATCAATAGATGAACTTTTACAAACGATTAATATTTGTGGACAGCCCCATTCAAGATGGCTGCCACAGCCTATACTCACACCAAAAATAGCTATAATCCAGTCAGTGCTGCCGATATAGTGCTCTATTAAAAACTCTATTTCAACTGGGTGTTTTCCAGATGTTTGGAAGTCTGCCATAGTTACTCCTGTATTRAAAACTGGGGATCCAACTTCTTTAAATAATTATCGACCAACAAGTATTCTTCCAACTACATCAAAAATTGCAGAAAAATGGGTCACTGAACAAATTGTTAATCACTTAGATAGTAGTTCCTCTCTCCACCCCATGCAGTTTGGCTTTCGGGCCAAACATTCAACTGAGACGGCCACATGCTTGTTTACAGAGAAAATAAAAGCATCTCTAGATTTGGGTGGTGTTGTAGGAGCAGTATTTTTGGACCTTAAGAAAGCATTCGATACAGTAAATCATTCAGTTCTTCTTGCTAAGCTCTCATGTTTTAATTTTTCTGGTGCTGCAAAGAAATGGATTGAAACATATTTGAGCAACCATTCTCAGTGTTTAAATTGATAGCTACAAATCTGAATCACTTAAACTGTCCACAGGTGTTCCACAAGGTTCAGTTATTGGCTCTCTTTTATTTAGTCTTTGTATAAATGAACTGCCTTCTGTTTTGCCCCTTGAAGTCAAATGTATCATGTATGCAGACGATACAGTTTTATTTGTTCATGGTCGTTCTAAGAATATTGTTGCAGCCAAACTCACGAAGGCAATGAATCATGTAACAATTTGGCTACAAGAATGCTGTCTACAGCTGAGCATTTCTAAAAGAGTCAGCATGTTTTTCAGTAAAACTAACAGAAGCTCCCAGGATTCAGAAATATGGGTTGCAGGTGAAACATTGCTGACTGTTAAGCAATTAAAATATTTGGGTTTGATAATTGATTCAAACCTCTCTTTCAAGGTTCATGTTGATAAGATTTATAAAATAACCAAGTTGAATCTAGCAAATTTTCATTCAGTCAAGAATGGAATGTCTACTGCGGCAGCAAAGATGTTTTTATGTAGTATGATTTTTAGCCATTTAACTTATTTGTATAACTAGCTGGTCACAGGCCTCTAAAAGCAAGCCATCAAGGTTATGGACAAGAAACCAAGACACTATCACAACTGTGAAAAACTGAAAAAGTACATTTTCTAAATTGGACTGACCTTCATAAATTTGCTTATTTGGGCTTGATTTATAAGGTAATTCATAATGTATGCTCCTCTCTCAGAGTTTATCAGTCAGAGAAATAGCAGTGACCATATGACGAGAGGTTCTGTTAGAGGAGACTGTGTTGTCCCTTTGAGGAGAAGCACCTTTGGTCAGTCAGTTTGGTCTGTGAGAGGTGCTCAGGAATGGAACTTACTACCAGATGAAATTAAACAGCTATCAACCTATAGGTCTTTCACTAAACATCTTTAAAAATGGCTTGTTGATTCTTACATCTGCCAACACTAAATATAAGCTGTATTTAATGTGTTGTATTGTGTTTTTTATATTTTATTTTTTAATTAAATTTTATTTTTTATGATTAATTTAATGTCCTGCTCTTATTTATTGTGCATTATTGCTGTATTTTATTCTTGCATCATGCTGCTTTTTAACATCATGGCCATTGGACTACAGATGAAAACTAGCCATTTGGCTAATTCTGGGTTTTTTAACTTGTGAATTGTCATATGTTTTATTAAATTGCACTGTCCACTTTTAAATAAATAAATAACAAAATTGGTAGCATTGTAGCTGAGTCATTCATAACACAGTTCAAGTAGGAATCATTGTGCAAGATTTATGCCTAAAACTTTAGCACTCACTTTTATCACTTTTAAAGTCAGCCTTGTTTGTCTGTTCGCAAAATATCTAACCAACTACAAAACATATTGAGATGTTCAAAAAGTAATCATTGGATATGTGTTTTGCGTCAGTCCAGTTCATGGTGTCTGTCTGCCACATTAGATAAGCCAACACAAAATTAGCTGTGACTCAACCTGTCTTTCAGATATTGAGCTACAGCGGGTAAAATAAGTTTTGAAAACGTCACCATTTTTCTCAGTAAATATATTACTAGAGGTGCTAATGACATGAAATTT